TTTTCATATCCCACTACGCGTTTCAAGTTATTTATCCTTCGTCCCACGGGGCCACCTTTGTCTTTCCGGTCTGCCAGAGCGATCCCCGCCGCCCGACGAGCTGGCGATCCCCCGACTCCTGTGCCCCCACACGCGATTCCCACACACGCCGATTTCTCCGCGGGCATCGCCGCTCCCCCTGGCGCTGCCTGGGCGGGGGTCCCCGTCCCCATCCCCGTCCCTGTCCCCGCGCCCGCCCTGCCCGGGGCCACCATGGCTGTGCCGCCGCGCTGCCCAACGGCCCGGCGCGCCCCGGCCCCGCGCCCCGCTCGGCTCGGCCGTTGTGCGGGCGAGCGGGCGGGTGGACGTGCGGCGCCCGAGGGGAGCCGCAGGCCTCGCCGCCTCCGCGGCGGCGGAGCGGTAGGGAACGGGAGGGAGCGGCGGGGAGGGACGGAAGGAGGGCACGCGGCCGACGGGGCGGGGACTGCCGAGCCTGTGCGCTGTTTGTCCCCGCTCCGCCGCGCGAGGAGGAGGGTCCTGTCCGGCCGCCTGCTGCTGCCCCCTCCTCCGTGCGAGGGGACCGGGGCGACCGGGGCGGGGGCGGGGGAGGTGATGAGCTTGGGCCGGGGGCTGCGGCGGCGGCGCGGCGGCTGCTGCTGCTGCTGCGGCTGCGGCGGGAGGCGACGGCGGGCCGTTGGAGGCTCTGTCCGGCCGGCCCGGGGCCAGGGGGATGCAGCGCAGGACGTGTTCGGGTCTGGGTGTAGCTGATCGGAGAAGAGAGGCAGACGCCGCCCGGAGAGGCCGAGGAGCAGCGGAGGAGAGCCACCCTGACATGCCTTTTCCTCTCCCTCCTCTCCAGCGGCCATGTTAACCAGAAAACCCTCAGCTAGCGCCGCCGCTGGTGCTGCCTACCCAGCCGGTAAGGAGAGCGAGCGGGGCCGCCGCGATCGCCACCGCTGGGCCGGGCTGCGGAGGCCCGGCAGAGGGGGACGGAGGCGGGGAGGGCTCGGGCGCCCCGCGGCTGCCGCCCCAGAGGTGCCGTGTGTGTCGAACAATGATCCGCCCTTCCCCCGCGGCAGCCCGGTCCGGGGGCCCGTCGGGGGCTGCGCGCTGGTCTCCGGCGAGCCGCTGTTGTGCGGGATGGCGAGTTCGCCTCTGGGGAGTGGGGCGGGKTGAGAGGGGCCGGCAGAAATCACGGCAGGGAAACGACCCACGGAGAAACGGGGATCGCCGCGAATGCCGGAGCGGCTGCGTTTGACAAGGGGCAGCGGTGCTCGCCGCCGCTTCCCGCGGCAGACTTGTGAACTCGTGGCGAGTCCCCGGCGGCGCCGGGATTTCTCCGGGCCAGACGGCTCGGGGGGAGGCGGGGGGCGCGGGCAGCCGTCCAGCCCCGAGGCGTGCGCGGAGCAGAGCCGGCTCGTTCTCCCGGTTAGGCGCCTGCCGGTGGCGGGTTAATCTCGGATGAAGGGTTTAGCCGGGCGAGCACGGCCCGCCCGCGCTATTAGCCGGATCGGTGCGTGTGTGCGCCGCGGCGGTGATTAGCTTTTAATGGCTTCTGCCCGAAGCAAGACGGGCGGCAGTGCCGGCCGAGCGCTGGGGCCACCGCCACCCCGACGGCCTCGCTACCCCRGGGGCCGCCGCTGCCCGCCGCGCTCACCCCTCTGCTCTCCGCAGGCAGGGCAGGGGACAGCGGCCGCCCGCTGCCGTCTTCCCCGGGCACCGGATCCGGGGTCTCCCGGGCAGGAGCTGGGACCGGCGCGCCGTCGCCCCTCGCATTGCCGCCGCTCAGGGCCAGCAACGCTTCCCACACGGTGAGCCCGGGCACGGGGAGGGTTGGGCGGGATGCGGGGAAGGGGGTCCGGCCCCGGGGTCTCTCGGCGCCGCTCGCCGAGTTTCCCCGGTGGCGGGACAGAGCGCGCATGGGTCCCCYGAGGCGAATGGTGCTGAAGCAAGGTGCATTGTATTTCTGCAGGCTCCGATGAAATGTGCATGCTTGTTGTGATGCTGGGACCCTGTAACTGCGCACACTGCCTTCTCCCTTCCCAGCACCCCCCTTCAGTCTGGTTTTGTGTCTCATTTTCAGGGACAAATTTCATCTTTGACACACGCATAGCGGAGTTATTGTGCTAAATGCATTTTTTGAGATGAGGTTGGTCACTGTGATTAAAGTGTCATTTGAACTGTGGTGAGAAGCGAAGGCAGCTCTTCCCTTTACGTGTCATATTAGCTCAGGCTGATCGYAGTCTTCCCTAGAAATAGCTATTGCTGTGCTCAGGAACAATGATTGGATGAATCTGCCTTTATTGCTGCAGTAGTTTACCYATAAAGAAATAATGGCTGATGGCATGAAGAGGATGTTATTTTCTGGTTCTGTGATATCTCACCTTATCTCCCACTCCTAGTTAATCTGCTAGGAATGAAACTTCCCAAGTATGCCACTATATATGGGTAAGAGAAGGCGTCTCTGTCCTGAAGGCATGACAGAGTAGAGAGAGGGGTCTCTATACTGTCATGTTAACACTAAATATCTGAAATTTTTATTGCATACATTTCCTTTTAAATTCKGAAAGATTTCATACTAACCCTGAAAGGCACTGATGGCATACTTTTCATAGAAATAATGAGTTATTTGTGGATGCTCACATACTACTATCTTTATAAACATATGGCAGAGCTTTAAATGGTAATGTGATTATGGGCTAGTGGAAGGTGAAACTGTGCATTTGAATATTAGTGTTTCAGTGACTTTCCGTGTAGCTTCAGGGGTAAAATGTCTTATTCAAATCCATTTATAGAAAGAATCGKCTGAAATTAAAAAATGATCAGTATATGTAGGATATTCTCAAAAAGAATTATGACTATTCTGTAAATTCAGGGTGGAGCTGCTTACTTGAGATCAATTTCATTGTATATTTATGTAGCTAGGGTATATATCTGAATTGTTTGTTAGTATAAAAGCCCAGTTTCTTCATATTTGTACACCAGTTAAGTGCTGATTGATTTTAGAATTGAGGCAACAGCTCAGGGTTTTCTTTTTTTGTTTGTTTTTTTTTTTTTAATAAAATAATAAAAGAAGGAATATAGTACAAGCAGCCTGAGCATCAATCATGCAAGTGCTTTTACAGTAGGGTTCACAAATATGAGGGGCTCACATGTAACAACGCAGACTTAATTTAGGATTTGTGAAAGCATGGTAGTCCAGCTATTTATCTGGGACTACTTACTAATTTTAGAAGTATAGAATTTTGGTATTTTTATACTGAGATTTTTTGTTTATGTGTATTAGATACAGTCAGTGTGTGCACATATATAGATATGTATGTAAATATGAAGTCTTTAGAAAAGCATTCAAGGGATGTTGAAGTTTTACGTTGTTGTGTTTCAAGTATTTTTATATGACTGTGTATGTGTATACATATGTTTATATGTAGCACATATATATGTGTGCTCATGGAAGCACTCAGGGATGATCAAGCATTATATGGCTATACGTCCTGTCCTTCTAGATTCTGACTGTTCCAAATTCTTCCTTTCGTTTGTGATAAAGAGCCTACTCTACGGTTTTTATTTAGCCTTGGGTGCTGTTGCAGAAGTATTTCAGACTGCCTTGCTGGATTTTGTAGGTGGTTGTTTAGTGGTTGGCTAACATAAATTTTTGTGGTAAGGATCAGATATGACATCAGAATACTGGATTTTAACCTGAAAAAAAAGGGGGCGGTGTCTGTTCTGTGATCTTGCTGTAAACTTAGGCCTACTGACCTCAGCTGACACTGACAGATTGAAAACATTGGTTTTGCATCCCACCACTTYCCTCAATCAGACCTATTTGAAATGGATCCTTTCAGTTTTCTTAAATTGTTTTCCTTTGTGTTCGTTTGCTTATCCTCTTTTCATCTCTGTTATATCTATGTGACTTCTGTAGCAGCTAAAAATAGAGTATTTCTGTTTGTGTTTCAAACTTTCAGAAGGTGTTGTGTGCTTTAGTGGGTGAACTGCTGGTGTTTGGATGTAAGTGTGCATGGTATGCATACTAGCTGTGGGAGGAACTGAAACTGAAGTTACGTTTTGTTTAAGCTAAAGGTTTTTACCTTTAATTCAGACAGAGAAGAAATCCAATACCTGTCATATTCCTTGCTTGTGTGATCCAGCCTCTGGTGAAACTGTGGTCTCCTACTTTGAAGTGAAATTTCACTGTTTGGGAGATTATAAATAGCAGGGGTGGAATGGGGGAAGATGCTGTTTTACACAAGCTTCATAAAACAGGACAGAGGTTTTGGCGACAGTCTTTGCAAGCACAGCAGCCTTTGTTGCTAAGCAGGCGGGGTYGTGTGTTGTACCAGGGAAAGGTTTTGTTGTTTTTTTGGTTTTTTTTTTTTTTTTTTCTTAAATGTGGCTTCATCCTAGGCTTATTTGTGTCTGCTTCCATCCCTGCCTGTCTTTTTTTGCTGTGTGGTGGAAAGCATGAACCTATTTCCAACCCCTTGTCCTCTTCATTTTCCTCTCCAAAGTCATTGGTTTCTCTTTTGAAGCCTAAAGTTCTTGCCTTGATGTTTGAAACCTTTTTCCATTCACTCTCTCTTATTTTGTTATGCTGTTCTTACATGCACTTGACATACTGCAGTAGAGATTRTCTTGCTTGCCTGCTGCTCTGCTTGTATAAATCTCAACCTGCGTCTCTCTCTCAGACTCGTCTCTGTCTTTGCCTCCATCCATCTCCTTTCCAACTTGGCATGTGTCCCTGCATTTTGCATTGTTCCTGATTCTCTTGCAGTATAGCAGTATTGGTGTTTTTATCCTGCTGTCTAGTACTGTAACAACAACCCATTTACAATGCATGATTCAGGGCCCTCCCTTCTTCAAGCCCTTTCTAAGATTTCAGTACAKCAAGTCTATTTTCTGTTGCCACCAGGGTTGAAAGCTTATTCATATACTTTTGCTTCAGTCATTCAGTCTTAATCTTGATTTTTTTAACTTAACTTTTTTAATTGACTTAAATTCTAATGGAACAGAAATTCCTGGACTCTGTTAATATGAACATCTGGTAGGTCACATGTTGACAATTTTTGCTGTGATCATCTGCTTTAAAGCAGGTAAAACCAAAACAAATACTTTCCTGTTGTGGTGTTTTCATGTCTTAAATTGCCATAGAAATGCTATCACATTTGAGTGGAAATAACTATGCAGTCATGACCTGGATTTTACTATATTTAGGGGGTTTTTTTACATATTTTTTGTCTATATTAAATTTGTATCTAGGGGGAATGTGAAGCTTTCTTAACTTCCAAGGATTATGGGGGTGGGCTGTGAAATTTGGGATCCAGCAGATGGTGACTGTAATGCTGTGGGGACTGCAGTACTTTTGGGCACATCTCACATGTGTATAGTTCAGCTTATCCAAGTGTGCATTGACTGTCCTTCTGGGTTTCATCACATGTAATAAATGCAGGGTATCCCAGAAGTATTCAAACTCACTGCACTCCTAAAAGGATGAAAAAATTTAAGAGGCAGTATCACTCTTGAAGCATAGTTCAGTCTGTGAAAATATTTTAGTAAAAAAGTTAACTTTAACATTTCAAAAAATAAGCTTATATAGACCAGCTACAACAAGAGCAAAAAGCCAAATGGTATGTTCTTTCTACCAYTCTTGTTGGGCCACAACCTCAAGGGCTTAGTCTTTTTTGGTGTATAAAAGCCATACTAACAATAAAACCATTAGGGATAATCCAGCATTATTATCATTGTACTAATTAGCAAGTATTTTTAGTTCTGAACAGGGGAATGCTGCCGARTTAGTTAATCAAGGAGAAAGAAGACCATTTGTGCATTTGCCCAGGCTTTTGTTTTGTAGTCAACAAAAAAGGCAGTGAAGCATGCTACACCTGATACCATATGCCTGTAGTGTTRGAAATAGTAGGGCTGAAACTGGCACGCCCAGAAATGCTGTAAAAAAAGGAGTATATAGTGTAACAATTATTCTTTAATTAAGTTACTACTTTAGAACATTGTTTCTCCCTTTGTCCTCATCTGTGCAAAGTAATAGCAGAAGCAGATAATGACATCTTATTCCTATGCAGTATTTCAGCAGACCATCATGATTGCTTTATTATTAAAATTCATTTTAAAACCTTTTTATATTCTGATTGACAGCAAAATCTTTTTTCTGTGGTTTTGCTCAAAATAAAATGATCATAATATAGCTGAATCATGTGTCTGTCTTAAATAGTTTTATGGGGTGCTAATAATCACGTGAACTGTTACAAAGATGAAATATGATACGATTACATAATATCTTGATACTTTTGGGAGATAAAGTTGAGGATATGTGCTCCTGTGGGGTTCAATCCTATAATCCTAGTCTTGTAGGAAGATCTTCACACCAATGCATTGGGTGAGTGTTACTGCAAAGGAATTTTAAATGGGTTTGCTTTCTTGTTAGCTGGATAGACTCATCTTTATGCTACTTCTGTGTTATTACAGGTCTGTAGCCTAAGTACAGTACCTTATTGTTCTGCTTCAGTTCCTAAATCCATTTGTGAGGGCAAAACAAAACAAATGCAAATAATACCACCCCCAAATTAAAGTTTTGTTGCTTTTTTATTTATTTATTGATTGTAGTTTAAGCGGTAGTCTTATTTTGTTTTGGTTGGTGTATCTACTTCAAAGATTATRTGAATGTGTTCAGCATAGTCATCAACTTCATGAACTAAACATATCAAAGTAAAAGTGAAACAGTGAAATCTTAATGGTGATTTTGAAGTTGTGAGAAACTACTGAGGGAGGAAAGAAACACCCCGTTGTAACATTTGCTGTTATGTAATTGATGATGCTAGAAGATCCAGGAAGATGAGTTCAAGCTCATCTGTTATTTCAATGCATTTTACAGACTTACAACAGTGAGTTTTTTTATCATGTGTGCTACAAAAAAGTGTAAGTCTTACAAGGTGTGGGTAGATTTGAACGCAGRCAATGCAATATGTAGTAAGTGAGCCTCATAAGTGCGTGCAGGTGATYGGTTGTGTAGGTTATTGGTTCTAGAATTTGCAGAAGCAAAATGGAGACATGTTACAGACGTCTCAGGTTYGTGGTTTCACTTGAAAGGCTGATGGAGCTTCTGCATGCCAAGAACAGTTTGGTACTGGGCTAGGAAGGTTAGTCTTCTGTGGCTTCCCAAGCTCATTAGTTGGGATTCAGGAACTCATGGTGTTGCTGGTGAAGCCTGTGGAGCTCATGAGCAGTGCAAGCCTGAACTTGACAGCAATCTCAGAGACCCAGTAGCCAGAAGTAGATAGGCAGAGCAAAGAACTGGTGCAAATCCAACCCTTATGCAGGTTGGAAATAGAGGACTACACAGTGATACTTGTGCAGGCAGTACTCTGAGATGAGGTAAATCTGTTTTTCATATTGACTTTGTGGTTGTGTTGTGTCTGATAGCTCTAAAACTCCTGTCGGGCTTTTTTTTGAAAGAAGAGTGGGCTCTATTCTCCCACACAGCTTTTGGAATAGAGCCTGTGATAATGTGGTGGTTTTTGTTCCACAAAGAAAACCATCGCTACCATCGCATCTGCATTTGCATTCCCAAGCAGCAGCTGACTGAAACTGGCAAAACCAGTCACTTTGGGTTGAAGTYGGAATAATGCTAGTGATTTCATTCTGCTGCTCGAACAAAAAAGCCAACCTGTCAGCAGCAAGAGAAACCATGAATCTGGCTGAAGATGCAAGAAGCAGAGCTACATGGTTTTTAGAACGTGTTCACAAGCATGCTTTTAGAAAGAAGATAGTTTTAGTCCCTGTTGAGAGGGAATAAATAYATGGAGTTTTTTCCCAGCCCTGAAGAACTTCTCAGTACATATACTGAAGCAAGCAGTGCTTAGGAAGGGTGGAAGATAGTTAGCTGTGAAAACAGATGACTCGAGCAAAATAAAATTCAAGATGTGAGCTGTGGCAATGAGTACTTGGTTAAAAAAAGATGTTTTCTCAGTGATACTCTTTTTTCTCATTGTCTACATTAGTATTGTCTACTCCCAGTTTGTCTGGATATGTTCTACTTTGTTGTTAACTAGTGTTGGAGAAGAAGTTTTTGTGCCTGGAGTTTCCTAGCTTGAGTCTCTGGAATTGCATGTTTACTATGCTGCTTCAGTATGCCTTTCTTGCACAGTTCTGCTGTGCTGCATGTGCTGATCTTAYGACTCTTTTTAATAACTAGATCTGGTTCTTCTGAAATGGATGGTTTAGCAGCTCTTGGGGCCACTTACTTTTTCTTTGCAGTAACTGCTGTTTATATAGAGGATCAGGGCAACCTTCAGGAAACTGCTACTGCAGCGTGCCTCAAACTTGACCTGAAGGAATTGCCTGTTGGCATGAGAAGCTTATTAAGTCCCAATGGTTTCATTTCTGATGTTTTTGAGACATCAAGGTAAAAGGGAGTTTTTGTTGATTTCCTGTATATCTTCACTGGGCTTAAATGTTACAACATCTTTGCTCTGAATTGTGATTGTGTGGTAATGCTTTCCATAAGATTGGTTAAATTTGATCGTGTGAGCCTAAATTTCTCTGTAAACAAGCATACAGTCAAACTGCAATGATGAATGAACCAGTTATTCAACATGAGTTGAAATGGAATCAAAAGAGCAGTGAACTTGGCAGAAGCAGTCCTGAGAGCCCTTGTTCTTATATTATGTGAGTTTCAGAGCTGCAAATTTCAAAATRCTGTCCAAAGGTGAAGCTGGTGTCTAGCTGGCAAGTCTTTGGGAACAAGTTACTGAATTTACAAAAACATGCTTCTGCCGTATCAGATTGATGCCTTAAGAGAAGCGCAAAGGATGCTCGAGTCTGCCTTGTGTRTCTGGGTTTTCTCATTAGAAAGCACTTCTGCTGTTGCAGCACAGATTTCATTGCCTCATATCACAGCACGCAACTGTCATTTTCAGATTTCATTTCAGCAGCCTTAAGTGAACAGGGAATGTGTTATCCTTAGCTGCCTACAAAAAATACAGTTCAGATGAAAAGTGCTCACAACCCTGGCTTGATCATCTGTCTGACAGTATCAGTGAACTTTTCATTAGTAATTTGACATAAATATTAACACTGGTGAATCAGCTGGAGAGACAGCAGGGGAATTCTTCMCACATTTGTGTAAGACCAGGCAGAAGACAAACTAATTATCCTCTGCTTTAGAGCCAATGATGAATTCTAAGGACAGATATTTTAGTGGCAAGTATGCTTATAAATTTCTTTTTTCTTCTTAAAAATAACAGGTTTAGAACAATAGTTGTTTTTACACCCCAGTATTTTGCTGTTTGTTTGCTTAAATGCTGAATGCTGCTGTTTATTCCCATTCCAAACACTGTCAAGAACAATGTAATTTCTAAAATCAATTAATTTTTTTTYCCCATTCCTATAAAATAAAGTTACTGGTATGTTCTTCAAGGCAAAGATTTTCTTTCTACTCAAGTCTGCTTAAGGCCCAAAATCTCATTTTGGTTAAAAGTTATTTTTAAACTGGTATGGGAAAGGGCTAGAGGAGATGCTTATTCTTCATTGATTGGAATGTTTTGCTGAATCGTGAGTGTCTCAGTTGCAAGCAGTAAGTTACATTTTTGAACTTCAGAAACATGTGGGTTCTTTTCCTTCTTGTGCATGTCACAGCACATGTCTCGTTGCTTAAAAATACATCTGTAACTTTTCATATACAGCAAATTTAGGAACAAGTTAAAATCTTGATTTCTGAGAACAAGTGACAAGGAAAGCCTTAGCCATGTAGGTTCTAGCAGGCCTTAAATATTCATCTCCACCATCTGTAAAACTGCTGCTATTGTCTGTAAAGTCTGATGTGCCTCAAAGCATGCTCCTTGATGTTACAGGACTGCTGCCCTGAAGATTCCTTGGAGAAGTTGTTAGCTTCTCATGGCAGTACATTTGTGATTGCCTTGTTGCAGACATTTTGGAGAGTCATGAAAATAGCAATTGAGAAACAAGAATCAGGAAATTCAATAGCATCCAGCAGTATCACAGTATATGTGCTGTATTTTTTAGATTATCTGTAAACAATCGACTTCTAAGAAAGCACTTCATTTTGAGGTGATTTAAGCAGAATGGAGGGTTGCAGAGTAAATGTTGAAGCGTGGAGTTCATGTCTTTCTTGTTAACTGGGTATATATTTATTTTCAATTTTAGGTTGGAGGCACTAAGCACACAATGAATGAGCACCTACATGTTGGTAGCCATGGACAAATCCAGGTTCAGCAGCTCTTTGAAGATAATAGTAACAAGAGAACGGTTCTGACAACGCAGCCAAATGGACTTACGCTAGGCAAATCTGGATTGCCAGTGGTTCAGGACAGGCAGTCAGAGAGTGCCCACAGGCGACAAGGGAGCTCCAGCTCTTTAAAATCTACAGATGGAACAGGAAAGGTAAAAGCCACTGTTATCACACCAGAGCAGGCAATGAAGCAATACATGCAAAAATTAACAGCTTTTGAGCATCATGAAATTTTTAGCTACCCTGAAATATACTTCTTGGGTCCAAATGCAAAGAAGCGGCAAGGTGTGATTGGTGGTTCCAACAACTGTGGCTATGATGATGACCAAGGGTCTTACATACAAGTACCCCATGATCATATTGCATACAGATATGAAGTCCTGAAAGTTATAGGCAAAGGAAGCTTTGGACAGGTGGTGAAGGCCTATGATCACAAGACGCATCAGCATGTGGCACTAAAAATGGTGAGAAATGAAAAACGTTTCCACCGCCAAGCTGCGGAAGAAATTAAGATCCTGGAACATCTCCGGAAACAAGATAAGGATAACAACATGAATGTTATTCACATGTTGGAAAATTTCACATTCCGCAGCCATATCTGCATGACATTTGAGTTGCTGAGCATGAACCTTTATGAATTAATAAAGAAAAACAAGTTTCAGGGCTTTAGCCTACCTTTGGTTCGGAAGTTTGCCCACTCAATTTTACAGTGCTTGGATGCTTTGCACAAAAACAGAATCATTCACTGTGACCTTAAACCTGAGAACATTCTGTTGAAGCAACAGGGTAGAAGTGGTATTAAAGTGATTGATTTTGGCTCAAGTTGTTACGAGCATCAACGTGTCTACACTTACATTCAGTCTCGGTTTTATCGTGCACCTGAAGTCATTCTTGGTGCTCGTTATGGGATGCCCATAGATATGTGGAGCTTGGGCTGTATTCTAGCAGAGCTTCTGACCGGTTATCCACTTTTACCTGGAGAAGATGAAGGAGACCAGCTGGCTTGTATGATTGAACTACTGGGCATGCCTTCTCCAAAACTTCTAGATTCATCCAAGCGAGCGAAAAACTTTGTGAGCTCTAAGGGTTATCCCCGCTATTGCAGCATCACAACCTTGTCTGATGGCTCTGTAATACTTAATGGTGGACGCTCTCGGAGGGGAAAACTGCGCGGCCCACCAGAGAGCAGAGAATGGGGTAACGCATTAAAGGGATGTGATGATCCCCTCTTCCTTGACTTCTTAAAACARTGTTTAGAATGGGATCCTGCTGTTCGTATGACACCTGGCCAGGCTTTGCGGCATCCCTGGCTAAGGAGACGGTTGCCAAAGCCTCCAAATGGGGAAAAGGCCTCAGCAAAGAGAATTACAGAGAGTACTGGTGCTATAACTTCGATTTCCAAGTTACCTCCGACTTCAGGCTCAGCATCAAAACTGAGGACTAATTTGGCACAGATGACAGATGCCAATGGGAATATTCAGCAAAGAACAGTGTTGCCAAAACTTGTTAGCTGAGTTTGAAAAACCCAATGCTGTTAATATGAGAGATACAAAGTGGCTGAGCCTTATTTGTATGAAAAATTAGCTCAGATATGCATTTTTATTTGCTCAATAAATCTATTCATTTGTATCTTTCAGCACTCATTTTAAATGTAAGAAATGTTGATTTTGTTTTTATAAAAACACGGGGACAATGCTTTAAGTTTTTATACTTATTTTTTAAGATGTTTGTCTTCTACAGTACAATTAGCCTTACTGTAACTAGTGTGACACAGTAATAAACATCAGTGGCAGGCCACTGGTTACAACATGACTGTCATGCATTGCAGCGTGGTATCAAAGGTATTAACCTTTCTCTTCCATGGTTCGTATTAGTTTTAACCTGGGGTAAATTTGGAAGACTACCATTTGGATTTTATGGGTTTGGTCTTGATTCTCTGAACACTCACATCTGTGACTGACTGGACTCCAGGGAGAACACTCAAAGAATACAGTTAAGCACTTGGAAACTTGTAGTTTAAAGTGGAGCCATAGTATGTTCTATTGTCATTTTTTATGTGGCAGCCCAGAGAAAGTCATGGTATCACTAATGATACTGTCATTTCCTATGGAATGCTTTCTCTATTTAAAAATAATGGACTTTGATTAAGGTGATCATTTAAATACAACGCAAAAAATAAGAACACTGGGGCTAAAATTACTACTACCTTGCATGCCATGTGATAGAGTGAGGGGAGCAGGTAGTCTTGGAAAACATGAAAATGGCAGCATGTCTGTTCCTCTAAATTTGAAAGTTGATTAGTTGGTAAAGCAAAATGTTTGGAAATTCGTTTTCGTCTGTAACATTGAGCATTCACAGATTTTCTTTTTTCCTTTTTTCTTTTTTTTCTCTCCTTTCCTCTTCTGTTTTTTTCTAATGTGCAGCTTGGTCTCCCAAAATCACATAGGCAGAAGTGCTCCTTCTGTCAGTTTTATACTGTAACTTCCAGACTGTTAAACTACATGGATTTCAAGGTTGTTTTTATTTCTTCTGACAATGTTTGAGTGACTGTAACTTCTGTGGTGCATTTACACTTCAGATCAAATCTGCATGTAGGGGCAAACATGATGTTACTACATTGCTTCCTGGAGAGGAGTACTTCACCTTAGACAGCTTAACTGTAGAAGGAAAGATCCTCAGTGAAAAGCTTTTCAGTTGGAAGACACCATCCTAGATACTTGCTAATAAGGGAGAATTATCAAAGGAAAGCTAAGTGCTTGGAATTTGATTTAACCTTTGGCATTTGTGGATGAAAATTAACTTTGAAAGAACGATTAGGTATGTGTAGATTCGTTCACGTGTGTGYGTGTGCTAATGCTTGGTTTTTCTTTTTTACTCTTAACTGCATTCATGGAAGAAAGATGGTCTTTACTGAAGAATAGTATCTAGACTGTGAGAGAGGTATTCACATGTTGTAGCATGTTTTCAACAGGAACGGTTTGAAATCTGAGATCAGTATTTTAATAAGTACAACAGCTGTGGTCTACATTGGATGTATAAAACATATGAAAAGGGAATTTTAAACAAAGTAGAACATAATGTAGAAGGGTTTATAGATGTTAGAACAAGACATACTAGAATGGATTGCATTAAACCTCAGTAACTTTATTTACATACAACATTTATATGCACAGATTTTACTGAGTTACTTSTACAAATTATGAAAATTACTTAAAGCATAGTCCCCTGAGAGGCCAAGAAAGTTTCCGGTTAAGTTCTCCTTCATACTTGTTAATTTACCACTTACAGCTTAATTTTTGTCTGTTGGTGTGTTTTGTTTTTAATTTAATGTATGACTGGGGGAGGGATATAAAGAAAAAAATTACAGAATTCTCAGGAAGCATATCACTGAACTTCTTGCCAAAAAGTCAACACCTAAAGAAGCTCCACAATAATTTCTGAGTAGAGGATGGTATTTGTTGATTGATAAATGTAAAAATTAGACTGTCAATCAACCATTTTTCTTACTTGTTAAAATGAAAAGWTAATTTCCTGCCTCTAGTCAAATTAAATTATTTAGTGTTAAATGTTAACAACTTTATACAATATGTGTAAGTGCAATATGTAAACATGTATGAAATCATGTTAAAAATGAAATATAATAATACTTCTAAGAAAAGTGGGTTTTAGAATATGACTATCCAGTAAATTATGGTCAGTAAATTCTAAGTCTGGAGAAGAGATATATTAATTTTAATGTAAAATTAACTGACTGTCATGACTGTGGGAATACAATACTATGTATTTTTCTGCAGTAACAGGGAATCTTTACTTCCTCCACCACCTGCTTGGCTTTACCACTCCTTTCTACCTTAACTCGTCCTGCACAAGTCAGGAAATAGGGATGCTGATGTTAAGGGTGAAAGCAGAATCATCTCCCGTAGTATTTTTTAAAGCAGACATTGATACATGTTCCTGCCTTTCATGGTAGCTTAAGGTGAAAACATTCATGATGTTCATGGGTCATTAATGGGCTACAACCACTAAATTTTCTTTCTYATGTAACCAGTTCTTAATGCCAATAATGCATTTATGATCCACCTTCTTCATAAATGCTACCGGAAACTTAAAGGCCAAAATATAGTGTGAAGAGCTATTTTTTTAACCCAGATACAGTGGAACTTCCTCTATACTAAAGGAACAGTTGCATCAAGGTTTTTAAGTGGTGTAGCTGCATTTTATTGTAACTTATTTATACCTGTAAAAAAAAGGGGGGGGGGGGGGGGGGGGGGGAGGAGGAGAAGGATGTTGCCTCTTGCTTTGATGTGATTCTAATCTAAGGGCTCTGATAATTAGGCTGATAGAAGTTGGCTTGGAAACAGTGCTTAGTCTCACATGTTACCATTGTCTGGGGATGTCTGAGCTATTTTCGGATTTAGTAACAGCACAGTGTTGTCTTTGGTTGCAGTCTCACTTGGCTCAGTTTCTTGCACCACTGGTGTGTTCATTACCACTTAAGTGTTGGAACAAGAGAGTGATGCAAGAYGTGTAGATTAAGGATTGAGGATGGATTGTGCCCTTGGTGTTAACAATGTGCCTTTTGTTACAAATGCATCTTGGCCTCTTTAACCCTTGGAATACTGCTTAGTAGGGATKAAATTATTTTTAAGTGCTATACCTTTCTTAAAACATCCTGTAGATGATCGAGGCCTTAATAGAAACAATAAGGCAATCACACTGCTAGGGTGGAGAGGACACTCTGTTCTTGTAGTACAGTCTCATTAAGGGGTTAAAGATGGCCCTTCCTCATTGGTTGTACTTTAACATCAAACTGATTTTTTTTTAAATAATTTTTTGTTATAGTGACACTAGCCAGAAATCAACTGTATTTGTAAAAATTTACCTCAAACTCTTTAGTTTTATAGTGATTTAATCCCAGGGCATTTGGTATGAACCAAAGTGCATTCCTTTTATATGTGCCTGGCTCTTATAAAGGTGGCCAGGGATTTTTACAATTTGGGTGCAAGGCACTTAAGCCACTTTTAACTTGGTGGGTGGTTTGGAGTTACAAATGACTTCATGGGAATGTTGAAAACACTTAAAAGACATAAGTAGCATCGGGCAATATTAAAATCTTTAGGAAAGGGTGTGCATTATTTAATGCTCTCCATTTGTTAATTTTGTTTTCCATCAGTAATATTTTTGATAAATATGAAAAGAACTCTTTCTACAGTCAGCAAAGATTAGAATATTGCCCAGTGTAATGCTATGGTAGCATTTAAATAAAATAACATTTGTGAATTATTGTTTCTAGGGGCTTGTACATCTCTGCTACAATTGTAATTACTCAGTTCAACTGCTACAATTGCGTCTAAGCAGTAGCTTGGGTTTTTATTGGGCAATGACTTAGACACGTGACTGTAATATGCTGCAACTGTGTGTACTGAAAACATGTGAAAAATGATTGAATGTGGACTATGTATATATTTATGTATAATTTTCTGTGAGATGCTGCTGTTGCCACTTAACATTAAAGATGTTGTAGTGGGTTTTAATCCTAGTGGCCAGTTCTATGATACTGTATGTATTGTACAGCTGATGACAGGAGTTAAGACTGTTCTAGTGAATATTTGTTACATTTTATTGTTGTGGCCAGAGATCATTTCAGAATAAAATTTTATGTCCTACTTTAATTCTCTCCACTGTACTTCGGATTTTTTTGTAGCCATTAAGAGAGCCCTTGGAATACTGATATTTGTTAAATGTGGAATGGCCTTCTAGCCTGCTGCAGTCAGTGGCAGCAGTGCTTTGGTCCCCCAGCTTGCCTGCTGCTATCTGTGTATAGTAATCACCCGTTGCTGGAGGCTGACTCTTCTACTGCTTTATATGTCTTGACAGCCTTGAATATTCCCCAAAGGCTGCTTTTGCCCTGAGGTTTCTAAAGTTCTTCTTAGTACTTAGAAAATAATATGGTTTTTATTTTTAGTTGCCCCATATTTGAGAGAAAATATCTTTGGCAGGAATTTTGTGGGTATGGCTGTTCTAAATTTTTTTAGCTGTTTTTGGAAGATTTTTAAAAATAAGAATAGATCTGRTTTTGTAAGAAATATTTGATTGAGACAGGTACAGTGTGTGTTCTTTTTCTTAAATCTGCTTTAAAAAGACACAGATTTCTGCATTGGTATTTGTATCAGAGTTTTCAGAGCTTGTCAGACTTTGTAAAGTCCCAGGATAATTAGAACATACTAAACAAAGCTGGTAGGCTAGACAGCTAAGTTCTGTTCACAGATACATCCAGAGTAATTTCACCATTAAGCGCAGAAGTATCTTCTAAGTGAGTGGCCACATTCTCTGCTTGGTARTGTCCATGTGCACCCAGAGCAGTTTCACTGAAAAGCTTTCTGGTTCAGGTGAGCCCAGGGTGAAATCAAGGGATTTTAATTACACTTTTTTAGTGTTGTACTCAGCATAGTTGGGAGATTTTAGAGCACAAACTGAATCAATATTAAATATAAATAAATCCAGTGTACAGCCCCAACAAGCAATCAGCCAAAAATTACATCTTTGTGGTATATTTGTTTGTGATCGTGTTTTTCTGAGGRCAAAGGCCTTGTTTTGGGTTTTGTTAGTTTAATTTTTGTATGGCTTTCTTTCCCTTCTAATCTGTTTCTCACTATCCCCTCCAGCCGTCTAATCSTCTTGCTAACTTTTGCACTCTTTTGTCTCATCTGTTTTTTCATGTGAAGAAGGATCAGAGCCATCTCACTTGAATTCAGTTGTGTGGAAGTTGCCTTTTGGCCTGTGCCATTTGCTGAGACTCTCAGTAGCTGGTGGGGAATTCGTGTTGCCTTCTGCTATTGCTCCCTTCCTAGTCTTTAAGAGCTCAGGTCCCTCCCTGAAGTGGGGCCCTTGGAATGCCACCCTGAATGACAGTCTGTAGTTGCTGTTATCTCTACAGAGCTTCCTTTTGTGAAAAGACTGTCTCCTGCTGGATATCAGCTGTGCATCTCTTGTTTTTTACAGCAAACCCAGTAAAGAATGCAAGTGTAATGATGATCAGGTATTGTGTTATTCATTTATAGAYGCTACTGCTTTTCTTCAAAAGGCTGTCTTGTCCCATTTTTTAAAGATCTGCYTATTGAAAGATCCAGCAGGAATTTTACTCTTGCTCAGAACTTAAGAAATGAAAAAGGTACAATGGAATGTATATGTATAGGGCTGCCTATGGTCAGAAGTTGGCATGGAGAGRGAAAAAAGGCACTTGTAAGAAAAATAGAGCCAAGTTTCAGGTAAGCATGATCCTTTCAGGATTCAGTGAAGGTTTAAGAATTTCAGCGGCATCAGATTGAGAATGGGAAGRCCTTAAATGTTTCTCAGTGTCTTAAACAATTGATCAACTATTATTTCAGTGGAAAAACATTCTTTTGAAAACCTATTTTAAACTCTATGCTAATAATTAAAAGAATAACATTAAAGAATATTTTCTGTAGCTAGAACTTTATAAACATGATTATACATTTCAAAATGTGATTTATAGTGCTGTTATGCTGCTAGCATAGCCTTATGTTTTATTGTTCCCGAGAGGAAGAACGTTCCTGAGAGGAAGAACATTCCTTGTCTTTTTCTTGAGTGCATGGCACTAGATGTGTCCCAGCCATCAGACATGCTATATCAGAGTAAAAGTGGCACTGGTAGAACTGGTTTGTGTTCCTTTGCAGAAATCCTCTGCTGCTCTTGGAACCTGGGTTTATTTGTGTAATTTTCTTTCTGATTTTTTCTGCTGTTTATTTAAGTGTTCATTTGTTTTTAAGAAGTGCTTTCCAGCCTCTGGCTGGGGTGAGTCTTCGATTTCTGCCAACTATTGAGCACTTTGGGATGGGGAATACTGCAAAAACAATGTTTCTTTAGCTTTTCTCCAACAACAAACAGAAAGTCTAGCTCGCTACCAAGCTCCAAAGACAGGGAATCCACATTCACCTCCAGGTGCTGTCCACACCAGCTGTTAACCTTGTTTAACTTCTGCATGAAGTTCAGTGGAAATGCCAGGTGCTGCAGAATGAATGGCTTGTGTCCGTCGCTTTGAGGGGGAAAAAGAGACTACAGTGGAAGTTCATGACATCTTTTTTGAGGAAGTTTGGGATATAGATGGAGCTAGGGAAGACTTTGTTGAGAAATTCCTTATACTGGAAGCTCTGCGTAACACCCTGGGAAGTGGCAAATATGGAGTTCCTGCTAACAGTGTAAACTGTTTCCCCTGTTCTGCAGACTGTTCATTCCTTTACTGTAGTTCAGTTATCTGCCAGCTGTACATGGCTTTGCATAGCTTAGGTACCTGAAGATAACATGTGAAGCAGCTGCAAACAGTGAAATACTACTTTATAACTAACATTGGCACCGGGAAATCCAGAGTTCTCCTTCAGAGTCTGACCTGACATGGTAGCACCCATGAAGTCCATTTAAGACTGTCTAAATGCAAAGCATTGCTGCAAACTGTTAATCCTTGATTGAACATAGTACGGGAGGGAAATGTCCATGAGACAGAAAAGCAACTGACAAATGTTTTATAAAGACTTTTGAGCAGATTTCTAGTACTGTACTGTTTATATAAGACTACCTCTTTAGTTTAATAAATTGGTCTGAATAAAGACGTAATWCTCAGATTTCTATTTCAGCTTCAGTGTGACAGTAAAAATTCCACATTTAATTACTCTTTTCCCTCATCTGTGTGGGTTCTTGCAGACACTACAAATATATTTTCCTCAAMCCATCTAGGTATAGAGATCAACTCTAATATCAGTTCCTGAGGGATAAGCAAGACCAAAAATTGAGGAATGTGTGTTTCTACATATAGAGATAAGTATGTGTGTACACATGTATGACCCTTTGGAAAAAAAAAAAAAAACAAATTCTGCAGGCATTCTTTGTAGTGCTTTACAAAAAACAACAAAAAAAGGGGATTAGCTTTATTTTCCCTTTGCCTCTTTGAAGTTTCAGTGTAAGTCCGACATTTTTGCATTACACACAAATCAAAGCCATTTGTCTGCTATACTTCAGTTTAACCATCAAGGTGCGCMCAATGAACCTCAGCTTTCTTGCTAGAGGCAGAGGGTGCTTGGTGAGCAGGGGTCCAGTGTCACCCCAATGGCAAGTGGTCCTGTCACATTTTCTGAAGTGCACCTTCATCAATGAATGAGCTGTTTTCTAGCTTACCAGGCTTAGCAACTGAAATAATTCCTTTGGGRTTAAAGCCTGAGTCCATGTGCTTAGACTGGGTTTGTAAACTTCAGCTGAGAAAGAAATCCTGAGGTGGAGTTTGTAAAGTCCAAAGCTAGAATTAAAAATGGGTTTCTAAGCACCTAGTACTTGTCTCATCCAACTGTGACACAAAATGACCTTTAAGATTTGCAAGTTTTCCGAAGGTCTGTGCAGAGAGTGCTCTCCCCAGGACAACCCTCGAGTGATGGCCCTGTCTGTGCTGCACACAGGTGGCAGTGCCTTTGGCTACCCTGGGAGGCTGGCGCTCCTCCAGCACTTCCGGCTTCCTCAAGGTACAAAGAGCATTTTATGGACAAAAACACTGAGGAGCGTTGCTAAGGAGAAGCTAAACATTTGTGTCTCAAGGGCCCAGCACACTGCATGGGAGCCGCACTGCTCCTTGCCTGGGTGTCAGTCCTGYGGGCTGTTGTGTCCTGCTGGACCTGCTCCTCCACAGACTCCTCCCAGTCCTGCGAGCACTCACCTCTGTGCAGCGCTGGGCTGGACCAGCAGCTCTCATTCCTCATGAGCTGCCCCATCACTGCCTACAGCTCCATGTGCAAATTTCTTGCCAAAGGCAGTGAGCAGCTGGTGTGGTGCTTCCAAGGTGAAGTCGCTGCTCTAGGGTACCCAGCAGGGTCTGCAGCCCACCCGTGTGAGCTCAGCTGGGCACCTGTACAGGGGTGGCACTGGCCCTACTCCCCGTGGGGTGCTCCTGTCCCTAACAGTGTGGGGGCTGGGGGCATTTCCCCGGCCCTTTGCTGCATGGCACAGCCAAAGTGTGATGCTTAGGCAAGTGCTCTCGCTGCAGAAGAAGAGGGTAGCTCCCTACCCTGGGACTGGTAGCATCAGGCGGAGCAGCTTAGCACCTGCCAGGGTGGGATGTGAGGAAGCTGTAACACACTGTTCCGTTGGCACGGGGGAATGTTTCAAATCACAAGCTTCTGCAGATGGCCTGTCTTAATTAGCTTTGACAAGTACCTAAGTTACTTTAAGTTACACCACAAACAGGATCCTGAAGTTTTCATTTTTTTGTCACTTTTAAATAAAGCTTTTTCCCTCCTCCTGGGTGCAGCATTTCCATGTTTTGTCCATGTAAGGCTCTTGAGAATAAATGAGATCTTTACGTAGCTTAGGAGCTATATTTTGATTGACTAAAGTATTTATAATTAGGAGGTAGCTCCTGCCAGCGCTCTTCATATGTCGATGGAGAATTGCCTGCAGCAAATCAGTGCCAGCAGAGCTGACAGGAAAGCACGCTGGTGCCTTCTCAAAGCAAATACCTTGTAACCCCAAATTTCCTCCTTCCTCATAGTGACTCACTCAAGTAATCTTTATGGCCGATGACTGCAGGAGTTACAGGGTTTCGCTCCAAAGGCCATTAGCAGAATACTTACCCATGCAGTTATTGATGGTCTCTTATGTGGGAGCAGTGGTGCTGGCAGCCTTGTTAGAGCCACTGAATGAACTCTGTGTGAAAAGAAGCTGAAGGCAAGTGTGCCTCTATCTTTGAAGGATGYGAAGCAGAAGCCTTTCCTCACCTGGTAAAAGACACTTGATCTGATTGCAAAAAAGGTGATTCTGGAGTGGGCAGAATCACTTGGGCAGGATTAGAAACAGAAAAAAAAATTGCTGCTGTGGGCCTTTGAGGAGGTAGAAACAGGGGTTTTTTTTCTCCTCAGATGAAATCATGGCATAACAGGCACCTGGATTATTCTAGCCAGGAAGGTGTTGGGCACACAATCCATCCCCAGCTGTAGCAAAGGATCAATATAGGACTCTTTCTTMYCAGTTTTTTGGTTTTCCCTTGGCTGAGGTGGRTCTGATAGTGCTGGGCAGACAAATYCCCCTTTTGGACAAAGGTGAGAAAATCCTTGTGAGCTACTGTSTCTGTAGATGGACAAGTTGGAGAGACAGGGAACATGGTGGTAGCATAAAAAGTGCAGTAAGTAAACGAGGGATCACTTTCCTTCCTCTCGGTGATTTCATCCAACACTCTGTTGAATTGGACTTGGTATCAAAAGACAATTACCTGCTTGAGCCATGAGTGCCCTATGCATTAAAAAACCAGATACAAGGCACATAAACTGAAGAGATTAAAAATGTAAGTTACCTGTGGAGTACTATTTCATTTTCTTCATGTATCTCAGCTTTCAGAGTTTTATATTTGTATATTTCTTTTCTATCTTCTACCCAAGACRAGCAGGACTTTTCTGGGACCATAGGGCCTAAAGGACATCTCCTGTCACAGCAGATATCATGCTGTAAAATCCCTTATCTAAATGTACTATTTCTTTACTATGAAAGTAGTTAGCCTACGAGCACCTACTRCTTCTGTTGAAAGACTGCTATAGAACACGGTTTCTCTGATGGTTAGAAATGTGCTTTTAGCTTAAAATAGTTGATGGGGTTTTTTCATGYTATTTGTTCTTGTGCCAACATTGTCTCATGGTTTGAATGATTCTTCTGCCGTGCTGGTATTTGGATATATATTTATAAAGTGTAATTGTATCCCACTCAGCCTTCCTTTTGCTAGGCCAGTGCTATTAAGCTATATTTGTCCATCAGTAAAGCTGACTCCCCATGCCTGTCCTACTCTGTCTCTGCACCTGTTCTATTTTCAGTGCAGCTTTCTTAGAGCCATGGTTGGCATCCTGCTTGTGGTCCCACCAGAGGAATGCAGAGTACGAAAAACACCCCTTCCTGCCCACTGCAGTACTTCACCCAGACCATCCCAGGATTTTTCTTCTCTATCTCATTCCACCAGCTCCATTCAGACCATTCTTCAGTCCTTTGGCTGCTCCCCTGCCTTTTCTTCCTTGCTCTGTGCACAGGTGGTGAGATGCAAGTTACAGTAAAATTTCTCTTGGCTGTTACGTATCTACGTGGCTTTGTTTGATTAGATTTCCATTGCCTTACTGTGAGAAATGAAACCCCGTGATTCTTATGAGTATATGTAATTTGAGCAGCTGGAACTCTAAGAAAAACATCAGAAATTATGTGTCTGTAAGGARAAAATAATGATATTCAGCCTTCATTTTTCAGAGATACGTTTCAGATGTGATGGAGTTGGCTCTGATCACCATTGAAGCATCAAGGTGTTGCCATAAAAAAAAGGCATTGATATTTTGAGTATTATGTTGCCAAGTCTCTGTTCAACTGGTGTTTTTCCTCAAATCCTCACTCATGGAGTTGTTATTGCAAGTTAAATTTTCTAACTTTTAGTGAAAAAAGTTTCTGGTTTCAGAAAGAAGTATGTTGTAAACCCAAATCTAGAGAACAATTCCTATGAACTTAAAAGTAACAGATTACACCAAAGAAAAAAAGAGCAGGTTTAAATCCTAGACTAATGAATTTGCAGGGCATGTAGCAATATTGCTAAGGTTTTCAGAGTGTTTAGCACTTAAGGCTACCAAAGCATGTGAAATAGTACAATTTGAACTAAAAGTCCCATTTTTCTACAYGCTTAATTGAGAGTTGCTTCATGGAGAGACATCAAGCCAAGTGTGGTGGGACTTGCTGAGCCATGCCTGGATATCTTGCATTGGAATGTCCTATGCTGAGTGCTCAGGTACACTGTTCTACTGTAAAAAGACAAAAATAAGGAGGATGATAACAGTAAAGCAGCCATGGAAAACCAGAAATATTTAAAATTGCTGGGGTAAATTTAATGCCTATGAGGAACTAATAATGGGGCTGAACTTTGCTATGCATGCTCCTGTCATGGGTCATGAGAAAGCCACAAATGGGCTGGCCCCTGGTTCTGCCAATTGCCACTCCTATGCCATGAAAAGGCTGTAGCTGGTGAGAGGGGCTGGGTGTGCCAAGGGGTGGGGTGTGCTTGAGAAGGATTCACAAATAAGTTTAAGTCAAGATCTGAAGGCTTGTCTTCACAGGTGTGTGTTTAGACTGTACTGACCCATACTGCTGTCTGTGCTGTACTATGTTCATCCCAAATGTAGGGATTTGTCTAAAAAAAGCAAAGCCATATTGGTGACCAGGGAGGAAGCCTCAGAGTAGGTGTTCACTGCCTYCTCTTCTGTTTCACAGTGAACCGAGAAGGGAGTTTTCTTGCAAAGAAGGGCTTCTGCTTGGGATTRTTTCATCTCTTTCCTTCAATACAAAGCTTTCTGCACAAGCTAAGAGAATGCCATCAATGGAAGCACAAGACAGTATGATGGATGACTGAATTAAAATAAAAAAAATATTTCAAGCACATGTTGAATATTTATTTTAAAATATTATTMAAAGCRGGAATTTTAAAATATTAGATTTTCTTTTGGTTTAGTTCCTGCACTTTACAATTTTTTTTTCATTCCTTTTCAGCACTTGCTGCTTTTCTTTCTTTTATTCTGCCAGATGAACCTGGAGAAAGGAGAAAACAGATTAAAAGTGAAAGGAGTCAGAGGAAGTCATCTTAAACATGAAACTAAAAACACTGCAAACACCTTGCATAGAGCTTTCATTTTCAGACACAGAAAATTTGCTAGAAAAAAAWCAGTTAACAAATGAGGCATATCTACATTTGGATTTTCTGTACAGAGAGGTTTTATCTGACTAAAACTCAAATACTACTAAGATTTTTTTTTTTTGTTTAGCTTAATACACATAAATGTTTTTATGGCCAGGGTGGTTTAGAAGTCATGTTCAAAGGGCTTCTGTAAAGCTTYTAATTGCTCTGAGATCTCACAATAAGGACCCTAAGCCCAAAAGAATTAATTTTGTGTAGTGACTGGAAATCATGACAATCTTATGGTCTGGCTTTGGATGAATGACAGAGAAGATGACAACCAAGGCCCACTGCTAAATAAGTCAATATTCACATCCAAGGGTTTGCTTTATTCCTCAAAAAGGGCTTAGAAAATATACTTGCAGGTATATTTTCTTCACACAGATATTGTTTAGATTAAATCAGTTCAGGAGAATAAAGGTATTTCTACTTGATAATGAGCATAGCCAGATGCAACTGAATTCTGGTCCAAGCCTAGAATAAATTTTGGGTTTGGCATTATTTGTCCACTTAGTAACAATATCTATTTTACTTTTTTTTTTTTTTTTGCTGCCTTTCATACCAAGATTATTAGGGGAAAAAAATCAATTTTACTTTAGCTTTCAAAGTGGGCAAGGACCAGGCTTGTAAAGCAACCTGCTCTAGGAGTTGATTGGCTTGTGTGTGGTGGTGATGCAAAAAGCCAAGGCAGAGCAGGAACATGGTTTGGTTACTGGCAGCTGCTGTCCAGCTGATGTAATTGGGTAATAGCCAGTGACAGGCAGAAACTACAGAAGATACAAATGATGATTCTTTGGGGAGCTCCAGAGATAAATAATTCATCAAAATGAATTTTATAGTAGGGGTCAAAAGAAATTGAAGACAGCCTTAGTGTTAACTCTCTGAGGGAAGAATTGGCAGATCGTTTTAGTACAAACTACACAGGGGAGAAATGCAGGCAAATTAAAAGTAAATGGAGAAT